TACAGAATAAAAACGGATACATAAAACAACATGAACCAGCACATAAAAATTCACAGCCGAGTTAGCCAAAGAGATCAACGCAAAAAAGTGACGTCACATTTGAATTTCTGAAATTTCCCCAAAATAGGATAGAATTATGATAGAATTCAAGATTTGGTTTATAATACTCATATAACATTTATTAATAACAATGAAAATTACAATACTAATTAATATAAAATGTGGTAGTAATTAGATAATTAATAGTATTATCTAGCTATGTCGGTGTTTCTTCTTAATCAAACTGTAAACCAAATATATCGTATTAATTTAGTAGACCCAAATTAAAATCTAATTAATGAACTGGGTGATTAGTTATCTTTACCATAACACACGAATACAACAGAAAAAAATAAGATTTACAACTACAAACGATGAGACATTTGAAAAATCCGATGAGAATAACAAATATAACATCAAAACTAAATACATGAATTTTGGATAGAAAAGTACCATGACACGTCTTATAGCAATGCGAATTCACACTCAGCAAAACAGTCACAATCGGGAATAAGTCACGTTCGGTAATTAAAAGATCAGACGACGTAATGTCAAACCATAATCTAACACGTGGTAAAAATGTCCTTAGTTAGTTTGGACAAAGACACATAGTATGGATCGATCAATTCGTGATGGTGTCTGTAAAATTAACGGAGTGTCATTTTTAATCTGTCCTCCTCATAACTTTGTTGGAGCAGTTCTGCGTTAGGAGCACACTCCTGTATATGAAGTCCGTATAGTTTGAAAATGCACGAGCATAACGTATCAACTGAGATATGTAAACACCATACGAAGGGGCAGATGGTATGTTACTGCTGAGAAATGGGAAATTGATAATTGGGAAGTTGAAATCGTCCCGTTTATCATAGATTTTCGTGTGAAGTCGTCCATCTGTGTCAATATTGAGGAAAAGATCAAGGTATGAAGCAGTCCTTCTAGTATCAGTAGTATCCTTAATTTCAAGTTCACTGGGATATATGAGATGTAAGTATTGGCTGAAATATGGGTTATTCATTCAACGATAGGACATCATCAATATATCGGAAAGTAAAATTAAAGAATTTCGCAAAGTGCTTTTTCTTTTTGTCTTTTAGAAGGTTCTGAATGAATTTTGCTTCATACGAGTACAAAAACAAATCGGCCAGTAGGGGTGCACAATAAGTACCCATTGGAATACCGACTGTCTGTTGAAATATAAATCCTCCAAACTCAACAAATATATTGTCGATCAAAAAGTCCAGCCTTTTGATAATATCATCTTTAGTATATTTTCTATTATATTCAGTGTGGTTCTTCACAAAATATGAATTATTGTAACCCAAAACAAGAAATCTGTATCTACGATTCCCATTTTTATAGAAAAAGCTCTGTTTAATGAGATGGAGAAGTCGATCTTTCAAGTGAGCATGGGGAATAGTAGTGTAAAGCGTAGAAAAATCAAAAGTCTTTATGTTGCTGCAAAATTGCAAAGATTGTGATCGAAGATTAAGCAGTAGATCTTTCGAATTTTTGAGAATCCACATCTGGTTTACACCACTGGTAGAATATATCTCATAACAATATTTTGAAGCCCATCTTCAACTGTAGAAAGAATAGTAGTCAGTACTTTAGAAAGATGTTTAGTCGAACATTTTGATGACCCAGCTATGTATCGTTCTTTATATGGAGTTTTGTGAAGTTTTGGTATCCAGTATAATGCTGGTAAATTTTCTTCGCTTTCTTTGATGTTGATACCAAAAGAAAGAAGGACAGATTTGTGATTTTTTTAAATTTCGCCCTTGGTAAATGATGTTAAAGAATATGTAGGATTACCAGTAGTTCTATTTATTCCAAGCTCTGTTGTGAGACATTGCAAATAATGGTTTTTACATATGAAGACAATATTATTGGAGGCTTTATCTGCTGGAACAACGACATATTTGTCATGCAAAGAGGATAAAGCATCCACAACATCCGGATTCTTGAAAGGGTTAGTAACTCTTGTGCTCATAGTACATCGTAGTTTTTGAATGCGCTTCTGAATGCATGATCGAATAGCTTTGATCCATTCAGACAAAGTGTCCAGTTCTGGTTCGTCTGGTTCGCGCTTTACCCATTTTCTTGCATAGTCCTCAACTGCATCCATCAGTAACCTGAAGTTCTTTTTCCAGTTGATGGGCTGGGGAATTCTATATTTTGGTCCTTTGGCTAAGAACTCTCTTAGTTGTTCATTGGTAACGATGCCAAGGTCGCCAGTAATAACATGACCATCTGGACTATAATTGTATTGCGACGATGCACATGAGCAATCCGGAGGCTTGGATTTCACATCTTTGAGGTTAAAGGCCTCTAAAACCCTCTTGTGGTTGAAAATCTTGGATGCAATAGACTTGGTGTAAGTATAAAAAATATCAGGTGTAGCTTTATTTTTGAAGTAATCAGGTAAAGTTTTTTGTACAGATTTCTGGTGGAAAATATTGCTAATATTTACAGCGTTTAAACCTTTAATGGCGAATTCTACCTTAAAAAAAATTACGTTTTTCCTCATTTTTGGATGTAGTCGATACGGGTTTGAATAGTCTATGGTTAGCAATGTCCATGATTATTGCAACTTATCTATACAAAGCAGAACGAGAATCAGTAACGGAAGTATTTTGGGCCTCTTGAAATAGTAAAAAAAGTTTTGACAATGAAATGGAGTATAATTTAGTTCTGATATGATGAATTCCTAAAGGTTTTTGAACAAACGTTAACAGACTATCAATTGTCACGGTGTGCACAGCAGGTGGTATATATTTTCTGTGACCATGACTTCTATTTCGTCGAGCAGAAGTATTAAATAATTGTAATGTATTGACAGTACTACACCTGGGACTAGACAAAATACCTACACCATCAATTTTGTCATTGCATCCATAGTGAATGGCTGTTCCCAACTCTCTTATTCAAAAGTCTTCTCTTTGTAAACGATATGTTGTACTCAATATGGGGTCATTTGTTGAATGATTTATTTTCTCTATAATCCGGACTTTCATTGAAACAATAGAATGGTCAGACTGATTGAAATGTTTATAGAGAAATTTGTTGTTATGTTTATAGAGAAATTTGTTGTTCACTTCAGCGAAAGGACCATCGCACTTCGGCGTAGACCATCGCACTTCAGCGTGACTATCGCACTTCAGCGTCCCCATCGAACCTCCGAGTCCTACATATTCATCATCGTATTATTACAAACAGTAACCAAAGGCAAACCGTATGATATATCAGCCACAAAACTTTTGAAGACGATGACCAAGCTCCGATATTTACTGGTCACATATGTAAAGTGTCACAAACTATGGCTAACCGCCCAATATATTTTGGCCAATCAACTGTCGCAAACTTTGACCAAGTTGTCTATTTTGTGGTGGTGGTGGCCGAGGGGGGGGGGGGGGGGGGGGGGGGGGGGGGGGGGGGGGGGGGGGGGGCTATATGTATACTTATTGTCAACTTTCTGGGGGAAAGAATAGCAATGATCCAAAATTTCCCCGGGGGAAAAATTTGATCATGCCAGTTTTTCCCCCGGAGGAAAAACTGGCATGGGGGACGAATCGCTATATAACATCGGCATTTAGGAGAGAAATACTATTTTGAGTATAAATAGGGTAATTTTATTAACTTCCTGGTTAAATCAAAAATAAAATGTAGACCATTCACTCAGACAATCATCTACCCTATTCATTTTATAATCACTTAAAATTTAAAACAAGCCGGAAGTTGAATGAATACCCTTTGGATATACTACAAATTTAAGCATCTTTACATAATTTTCATCTCGGTATACAATATCCTATTTAAAAGATGGTAGATTTATCAAGGCACTTCATTCTTGGGTACTGGACTGGTATCAAGTGATCCTATTCAATCTACAAACCGCTCAGACGAACAGGAACATCTCAAATAGGAGGGGGTACCTTACACTCCTTCTATTCATCGAATGTAGTATATATAGCTCTGATATTTTTGGAACGGAGTATTTAAAGTTGACAATTGAACCAAAACAATTGGGTTAGCATTAGGACGACCCTTAATGCGGAAACTGCTAAACCAAGAAAAAATTAATAAAGTAAACTAGGACAACAAATCGATGAAAAATTCAAAACGTAAAGCACCTGTTTACAAGGAATGCAGTATTCAGGTTTTACCTTTCAAAATAAGGAGCTTTAACAAAATAGGTTATAATGACGTCGACGCCGGAAATGCCTTCTTTAGTTTCCCATTGTGCGACATTTGTAAGCGATATAAACGCTTTCCCGTTTTGTTTTTTTTTATCATCACTTTTGAAAGTGTTTACAAAGATTTCCTCCGTTTAATGGCTAAGTTGAAAGATTGAAACGAACAAAATCTAAAACAGTGACAATTATTATTATAATCTGAGACTACTATAATAGTAGTATCAGTTATCATACCAGGGGTGGATCCAGCCATTTATAAAAGGGGGTAAGGGGGTTGGGGTTCCAACTTTCTGTCCCCATTCAAATGCATTGATCGTCAAAAAAGGGGGGTTCCAACCCCTGAACCCCCCCCCCCCTGGATCCGCCACTGAATACAATAAATTATCTTTTTTTCTTTGTCTAAATAAACACACTATAGTTGCCATTCTGTCTCACAATTTGCAAACTAAAGCGAAGAACTAGACTGCTATTTTAACATCCAAAGACCGTGCTCAATATTCAACAATGGGAGCACTCCTTCTGCTCCAGCAACCACATTAAATTTTATGATCATTTATTTGTTGCATCAAAAACAGACATATTTTTAAGGGTATAATAATTAAGCAAAGTTCAAACCTCATAGAGTAAGGAAATTTATAAATAAAGAATTTGTTTAAGTTCGAAAAAAAACAATGAAAAACCGTTTCAATTTTATAAATAAATAAATAAAAGTCACGTGTTGTCGAGTGATTCCGGTTAGTAACTTACATAGGTTCAATCATGTGACAACTTACTTCCTGGTTATCAAACATTACGTTGAAAGGTAAACATTCACCATTTAACTTATTTTGATAATCGTTTATGACTAATATTGCGAATTTAATTAATGATGAGATTAAGTAGAGTTCCGGAATCAAAATTCTAATTGGTTTTCGTTGTTTCATGTTTGTCATATTTGTTTTTCGTAAACTGTTTTGTTATAACTTAGGCCGTTAGTTTTCTCAAATGAATTGTTTCATATTTTTTATGTCGGGGCCCTTTATAGCTGACCAATACGGTATGGGTTTTTCTCATTGTTGAAGGCCGTACGGTTACCTCGTTAAATATGTAATCAATGTAATGACAACAAGAGACATATATACGTAGATATGCATGTCTCTGTGAAAACAAAATGCCTCCGTTTTTAAGGTTGATAATAAGGAGGAAATACGACATCCCATGGTGCACAATGATAATGGCGTTGATCAAAATGTCCTTTGATTCATCCTTCAAATTTATACAAATTTAAATCGTTTGGAATCAGACCTTCTTACAATACAAAATACAAAATCTATGAGCTGCGAATTGATTTAATTGATTTGATTATTTTGTTATCGACTGCACTTGCATGCTGTTACGAAACAATTTTGTTTACCAAAATGGTGCATACGTAATTTTCAAACGATAATGAAATACTTTAATTATTTTACTTTACTCGAACAAACAAAAAATTGCATTCTCATATTTGTTTGATGACTACGTCAGTTCACGTAGATTTCGAAATTTTGCAATGAGTTTACATAATAGAGAACGATTAGGGAATAGTACAAGAAAATGGGTCAAAATAGAAAAACAGAGAAAAACAGGCAAAAAAAATATACAATAGAGAATAACGGGGTGCAAATATATAAAGAATAGATAATAATCAAAATTTATTAAGAAAAATGACATAAATGAAAAACCCTTTATCTAGACCCTCGATCATTATTATTTATTTTTTTCACATCTTAACAATGAAACATATGACAGAATATATTTTGTTTGTTAGTGAAAGCTTTTGTTCTAGATATTCTTTTCATGTTTTTTATCGTTCAATTTATCAATAAATTAAAACCATACTTAATATTACACATATATGTACTTTCACGGTACTACAATCTGTCGATACTTATAGTGTGGCATTGCACAATGACATGTTTTCCTCTGACTGTTAATGACGTCTTTACAATAAATCCATTGGATGTTGGAGGTGTATTGATTGATATTTTAGTCTTAGATACATGATTTTTTTCATTACTTGTTTTTGGCTTTGAAGTACATGTAGCTGTCAGTAGCTGCAAGTACTTTTAGATCTGTACTAAGTGTCATTTTGTTGTGTTTTTTTTATGATGTATAAGTAACCGTCCGCGTCTACTTTGTGTGTTTTTTTTTAGATGTATTTCTATTTGTATCCATCTGATGAGTTAAGACTTTTTCAACTGATTGCTATAGTTTTATGTTGTACTGTCCAAGGTTAGGAGAGGGATGAGCATTCACAAACATGTTTAACCCCGCCATATTCTTTATGTGCCTGTCCCAAGTCAGGAGCCTGTAGTTCAGTGGTTGTCGTTGGTTCATGTTTGTCGTATTTGTTTTTCGTAAACTGTTTTATTATAAATTAGGCCGTTAGTTTTCTCAATTAAATGTTTCATATTTTTCATGTCTAAATAATGTTTATAAGTTTAAATATTCGTGTCTATATCCCAATATTTTATGTAGGGGTTGTGTTACTATTACCACCGAATGGAATCAACTTGATATAATACTCAATATAGTAGTTACCGGAATGACAAAAGTTCAGTCGGAAACACAAAACAATGCATGAGATCGTGTTAAAGTATTAGACTTCTTATTAGCCATTGAGATATCATGACCTCCGAAGTTGCCGATATCACGTGACCTGAAATCAAAAGAAATATCAATATAAATAAATAGATAATACGTGCAACAATAAAATGATTGATTGTCTGTTTGGTTTTATCTAAAGATACTTTTAAATGTATATATATCGTTTAACTTATATAACAATGATATCTTTGGGTCGTATCAGTCAAAGAAATTGTTCTTACTGCTTGTTCCAATCGTTTCACTTTTCAAAAGTGACATTCTGCTCTTTTAATAACTGAACACAATGAACATATGAGAAACCCTTCTCCAACCAATAGTTAATTTAAAGATTGCCTACATGCGGAAACAAAATATCATTGTTTTGAAAGACAGTAATATAGCAACGATAGAAAAAAATCAAGGGAAATGGGGCATCCATCAATGACACAAAATCATAACATGCACAGCAAAAAAGCACACATAAAGCAAAAGAAACAGCGCTTTTTCTGCTGTTCTTCATTTCAAAGTCAGAGTGACACCTTTGAAATATAACATGCAGCAAAAACAAAAAACAAAACATAACTTTCACCTCACTGCAATTTAAGACGATTGCTTGTTTTAAAGAAGCATTTTAGCTACGAGATATAAAAAAGAAATAAAAAAAATAATGTAGTTTTTGTTCAATTATTAATGAAAATGAAATAATAATTCGCTTTTGTCAGCCAACTTGGTTCAATTTTGTCAAAATAAGCAAAGAAACATCGCTGATAAATAATTCACTTGCAAGTGACTAATTCGACCTCATTGAATCCGTATTCATGTAACCTACAATTAAACCCCTTAGTTAGTGATGGGTTACGCACAAATTAGGCATGTTCAGTTATTAAAAAGAAAATATTGAAAGTAAAACAACAGTTACAACGGTAAACCATTTGATTGACTGTTTCGATCCAAAAAAACTCATTCTTGTACAGGTAAATTGTAAAATGATGATGATTAACATAATTTATTAAACTATAATATGTAATCAAACAGACCTAGTAAAAGCCAATTGCACGGATCACTACTATGTATATCTATGTTTATGATTATATCGGGTTTTATGACCGTTGGCAGTTGCAGTTTGGTGTATTTGAAGGACATGAAAACCAAAATCCTTGTATATGTTAATAAGCCAACTCTTTTTCTGTCTTTGCTCTATTTCTAAAACATTATTCACGTTTATACACAATACCAGTGACTTCTCAATAAGTGTTAACAGAATAGAGAATGGAAATAGGAATGTGTCAAAAACCCGATCATAGAGCAAAAAACATCCCAAGGCCACCAAAGGGTCTTCAACGCATATAGAAAAATCCTGCACTCGGAGGCGGGCTTAAGCTGACCCTAAATAATAATGTATATAAGTTTAGCAAAATGGGCGCCACACTTAACTCCAGAACATACAAATCAACCAAAATTAAAAAAAAACACAAATTTATAAAGGCTAGAGGTTCAATGACCTTGGGCAGACACAAAAAGCGGCTGGGTTATATATGTTTGTGAGATCTGACCCCTTCTTTTCATACCTCTAGCTAAGGCATCTTCATTTGTAATCTTACACTTCGATGAATACTAGTAAACAAAAGAATCTAACACCTTCACGGTACATCTCATTGTGACCATCTACGGTAGTCTTTCGTACATCAACATAAATTACCCGAGAGAATCCCAAAGTACAGTAATTGAACAAAATTTCTTCGATAGAAGTATACGTATGGGTTGCCTGCAGATAAGTAGTCAGTTTGAAGAAAAGTTTCACACACCATACCTGACAGAGATCACTAATGCATCAAGCTTTTATATTCTTTTGGGTACAATGCGTGAAATGAATTTCCTGACCCTATGCTAACGTTATTTTTCATTTCCTCTTGCAGCTAAAAAAAACTCGTTTACTAACACTTTTACTGAATACTCATCATATTTTATCGTATGTATGCTTATCATATTGATATATTACCTTTTTGTGCTGCTTGCTGCTGCTTGATTGCAAACCACAAAAAAATCGATATTTAAAAGGCTCTACAATAAATGTCCTTTGTTGACAGTTGCAGATTGTAATCGGATTTTCTACCTTTACCCTCAACATTTAAGATGTATGTGTTTCAATAACTTTTTGATATGTATCTTGTCGTTATGAAATTTCTAATTATAAAATAGAAATAATGGTTTTCGAAATCAAACGGTTATTTCAGAATGTCGACAAATCAAAAGGCATGTAACATATGTGACTATCAACACATAACAAAGCCAGCAACAGATTGGTGTTCCGAATGTGAACAGGCGTTTTGTAGTGAATGTAAGGTATTTCATGGGTTTTCAAGGTTGTCCCAAAACCATGCAACAATACCGATATTGGATTATTTATCATTAGAGGCATCATTCGCGACTACTACAATTATATGCACTGAACATGATGAGATCTGTCAAATGATTTGCCAAACACATGACAAGCTTCTATGTCTCAATTGTATTGACAAACATAATGATTGTAAGAACATAGTTCCAATGAATGAAGTAACAAAAAATGTTAAAACATCAACGAATTTCCAAGAAACACGACAAAGCTTAACAGACATAACTAAAAGCATAACTCAAATTCAGGATGAGCTAAAACTGCATTTACAAGCAATAAATGACGACGAGAAAAAAATATCAGCAGAGATAGATACGATGAGGAAGAAATTAGATGATCATTTGGACAAACTCGAACACGACTTAAGAAAAAAACTGTCAGAGGAAGCAACCAAATCATGCAATTCCATCGAGGGAACGCTAAAGAAACTTGAAGATAGAAAATTACAGATAACAAAAACCCAAAAGCAGATGAAAGATTTAGAGGCATATGCATCCGATTATCAAACTTACCTCAGCCTCAGGCAAATATCATCATCAGTGGATTCGGTGGAATCATTTTTGCAGTTAGTGGTTAAAGATGGGAATATAGACATAGACACATTGATCTTGAATTTTGATGAAAAGATAAATGCCATTGTTGATAACATCAAGCATTTCGGTTTGGTACATGTACAGAAAAAGACGTGTAACGTGCCCCTCATCCGGCAAAAGGACAAGCAAGCACAACTAGTCGGATTAGGACGACCCCCTATAAAGTCGATCAATGATATTAAACTGAAATTAGCTTGTACAATTGACACAACATGTAATTTCATTAGAGGATGTGAAATTCTGACTGATGGGAAAATAGTTTTTAGTAATTCTGGCACGAATATTTGTGCATGTGTTGTTATTTTTGATTCATATGGAAAACATTTGAGCAATATACCAGTTAAGTCTGGCATAATGTGTAGAGATGTAACATGTATCGATAACAATACTACTCTAGCTTTCAGTTGTAGATTTGATAGTGACATACACTTTATCGATATAAATAAACAAGAAGTATTACACAAGGTTATAAGTACTAAAAACCTCTGCTATGGAGTGGCATACAGTGATGACTCATTAGTATGCAGCATGTCCGGTGAGGGCATACAGAAGATACGTCTAGACAACAATAAATTGTCAACTATTGTCAAGTGTGATTTAGAAATTGGATATGTTGCTGTATACAATAATATGCTGTATTACACCAACTTCAAGAATAATGTTGTCACATGCTGTTATATGGAAGGTCAGTCATTATGGACATTCAGAGATGAGACAGTTCTGAAGAAACCAAGTGGCATATCGGTTGATACCCGAGGATTTGTATACGTCGTAAGTCCTGAAATGAACAATATTGTAGTATTATCTCCAGATGGACAAGAAAAACGAGTGCTTCTTACAAATGTTGATGGATTAAAAGATCCTTGGGTTTTACACTTTGAGAAACTTACAAATCGCCTTCTGGTCGCAAACAGTGAAAGAACTGCGTATTTGTTTGACGTTTTAACTTAACAATAAAACAGTTTGGTTTTTTTTTCAAAGAGAAACAACACTACATAGAAAGTCCGAAAGTACAGAGGAAAGTGTTTTCCAGAAACAAATTTGCCTTATCAAAATAACCTTTACCATGTTTGCAGTAATTCTATATTTTAAAGATTTAAATGATACGTTTTTATTGCGGTAAATTTTAAAGTTACATATTATCTAATTGTAGTATAGACACCGGGGCCTCGGTGGCCGAGTGGTCTAAGTAGTACCACTGTATCACTAGCCAGTCAACACTGAGGTTGTGAGTTCGAATCCCGCACAGGGCAAGTGCACTCGACTCAAATCTTAATCTTAATTGACAAGGATTGTCAGTTTTCCTACCGAAGGTCGGTGGTTCTCTCCGGAAAATTCCGGCTTCCTCCACCAATAAAAAATGACCGTCACGAAATAGCACAATAGTATTGAAAGTGGCGTTAAACACCAATCAATCAATAGTATAGAAACCTAGAAAAAAAGAATAAGTAAAACTTGAAACTAAATATCAATAAGACAGCAACCAGACGACAGAAAAACCAAAAAGACATCTAGAGGGCAGTATACAGTCTTCAACAATAGACAGGTGTATAATTAAAAATCGTACAGAATCTAAGAAAAAGTTGTTAATAAAGTTAACACCAATAACAAATATCAAAATTTGCCATTAACACTCTGTTCTCTATATAACATAACACATCCAGATATGACATTCGACAACTTTTTTGATTCAGAACCTGACTCCCAAAATTTCCCTGTAAATGTATTTTGTTTTTGTATTACTCTGTTTAAACAATTGGTCTACTATTTCTCCGCGTCTAAGAATTGCTGATTGATTAGTATAAAAAATTATTTGCCATCGTTGCAGATTAAGACGGATTGAAAGGAGGCATAGTGCAATTTTAACTTGATTTCATTTCCCATAATCTTATAAAGTTTTATTCTGGTGTCGAAAGTATTTTTTTAAATTTTAACTAGGTGCTTTTTTCATCTTTTTATCTTAAAATATTTCATTAATGATTTTTATACAGCTTGCAATTGAAAGAGGAAATGTCATATATTTCGCCCCTCTATCATATGTTGTTAAAGTGTATATTTTATATTCAATTTTAATGGCAAATTTTTCCAGAAAGATGTAGTGAAAATTATAATTATAAATGAATTATTGATAAATTTTCAACTTCTTATGGATTAATTACTGTCTGATTTATCGAATTGTGATGTAACTCTTATATATGAACGGCATATCTTCATTTTAAATTCACAATTTTCTTTCTAAAACTATTGTTGCATGTGTTTAGCATTCGTAAATTTGAGTCGAAAGACTTTTCGATGAAATCCCGTTTTTATTGTTCAATAGTTATAATAATGTGCTGGACATGGCATGGGTCTTTTATGAAACTTTGCCTGATACTTTTCCATTGTTGCCAATTAATTGGATCGAAACTGCACTAACGTCTTACGGCCTTTTGGGACCTGCTGTGTAGGTGGATCAGATAAGGCTGTCACACGTCTGAGCATTTCCTCACTTCCGAAAAGTCATTCATCTCAGTTTATTTCGGTCCATACACTGTTTTGAAATATCACTAGCTCTACTGCAATTTGGTATTCATTGACATGACAAATAGGAAGAAAGTAAGTAAGTAAATTTCATGTACCTTGGGTACATATAATGGGTTAACAGTTAACAATAATAAACATGAGCTTTTGAAGGCTCGTACAATGAACGAAAATCCAGCACAATGAGTAAAGGTAAAAATAAGCATGTATATGAACAACAGTATTTAAATCAAAAGGATATTGATATAATACATAAATCTAGATCAAAGCAAAATTTATCATATCCAGAGCATACCCAGAAGTTAGATATTGACACTTGTGTTCTACGACATATTTTCTCTGACATATATTATGATTACTCTTAGTCTGAAGGAACAATTCATCTGTTTTTGGTTGGAATATACTGTTTGTTTAATTCATTTTGAAATTTCTTTGAAATAGGCTTTATTCCCTTACTGGTATAGCACCACTAATTCGGCCCGGTCAGAAAGAACATACAAGAAAGTAGTACTAGTACATATTTCAAACAAAATAGTTTTTACGCATAACTGTTACTTTGTCAATAAGTAAAATATTAGGGTAATTTTTGTATCAAAAAGTAAAATCACAAAAATACTGAACTCCGAGGGAAATTCAAAAAGGAAAGTCCCCAATCAAATGGCAAAATCAAAAAAACAAACACATCAAACGAATGGATAACAACTGTCATATTCCTGACTTGGTACAGGCATTTTCTTATGTAGAAAATGGTGGATTGAACCTGGTTTTATAGCTAGCTAAACCTCTCACTTGTATGACAGTCGCATCAAATTCCATTATATTGACAACGATGCGTGAACAAAACAAACAGACACAATAGGTAAAAATGTCAAAAATAGGGGTACAGCAGTCAACATTGTGTAATCTTCTTAATCACTATAAAAAGGTGATCATCAAGGGAAAGCTTAAGGACTTGTGATTACTGTAGAACCTTTGTTGAATAATAAAAAAAAATGAAATTAAGATAGGAGAGCATATTTTCCCTGTTGCTAAGATCAGTAGTACCTGTTTTTGTACTACCCAACTTCCGGGGAAACAGTCCTCTCTAATATGCAATTAAAGGTATGTTAATTTTTTCAGCACAAGTGAGGATAAGGTAGGACTCACGTTATTTTAACTTAAGACAAAATAGCTATGAATGCTTGAAGTTGCAGAATTTAAAATAGAAAGCAATGGGGCTATGTATTAGTGGTGTTATTCCTCCTCCACACATTGTTCCCAGCTACAGCATACCTATAATGATGTTACGGGAAATCAACCAGTTACTACCATACTTTAAAATTGAGAATGGAAATGGGGAATGTGTCAAAGAGACAACAACCCGACCATAGAGCAGACAACAGCCGAAGGCCACCAATGGGTCTTCAATGCAGCGAGAAAGTTCCGCACCCGGAGGCGTCCTTCAGCTGGCCCCTAAACAAATATGTATACTAGTTCAGTGATAATGGAAGTCATACTAAACTCCAAATTATACACAAGAAACTAAAATTAAAAATGATACAAGACTAACAAAGGCCAGAGGCTCCTGACTTGGGACAGGCGCAAAAATGCGGCGGGGTTAAACATGTTTTTTGAGATTGTCCGTTTTACTGCAATACTGTTATTGGTTGAATGAGATATAGTAAATAAAAGCCGGAGGGCTGAAACAATCTTTTGGTTAGAAGCAAATATCCTTTCATTTATTCATTGTTTTTCATTTAATTCAATACCTCTCCCTATCTTATTTCAAATTGTCAATGAGATGATCACAGAACGCGACATATAAGAAATGGACTAATCGGGTTATTTTTCTGTCGTTAGGTAGCTAGCCGTAATTGTTTCTGATTATTCTGCTACTTTGCTTTGTTTCGTTAAAATAGGAAAAAAGACTGTTGAAACCTTATAATTGTATCCGTTTATAGTTTAATAACGCTTTTATTTTACGTCGTTCGTCACATACCCTTCTCTACGACCCTCTTTTGAAACAAGTACTAGTATTTGAAAAAGGTAAAAACAGTTAAATTATTCTACATTTATAAAATACATTTACCAGATCACCAAAAACCATCCTTCATTTTCAAAAAGAATGAAGGAACCAAGTTATGTTTGTTTCGTCCATATATATGTCATATATATGTAATAATGGATACAAGAGTGAATATCCTGAAAAGTCTCACTTGCTTTACTGATAAGGTTTAGTGTTGTGCTTAAAATCCTTACTAACAAAGGTCTACAGAAGTCATGTTCAATAAATGTGGTAAAGTGGATTTTCTGCCATTTATACTGGTTGCATTGATTATACTATATGTACTTATTTTGAATATCTCTTGCAGACGATTTATTGTATTATCTAGTAGTAGGTGAGTTGTTTGCAATCTACTTGTGATTAGGTCTTATTTTATTGGTCATTGGTAGTCTTGTGATTATTAGACAGAGGGAAATTTAATCTAATGGATGGTCAATTTTGGTCTTTGTTTACAAAAGTTTCATTAGTTTAATTACTTAGTATCCCGTCTTTGTATTTACTTTTCATATAAGGATTGAATCATTCAGTTATATTGGATACAGTTATAGTCAGTCAGGAACCACAAATATAGCATATTTTGGTAAGTTACATTTACTTTCATTGAGAGCCTTTGTTTTGACAGATGGATGAAGTATGAATCCTGATTATGATATTATAAAAACATGCAAGGTAAAAGTATGTTTCCCCAATGTCCAAGTGAGCGTGAGGTTTGAGCTTGAGAGATGATTATATGAGTTGATTGTTTTCAGAGTTTTGTGTATTTTGCTGTACGGGTGAGTTTGATTTATTTTAACAGTGACCTTGACCTATGTTATGGTACGGTATTATCAATAATGACGTAGACATATTAATGTATACAAGTCAGATGACATTATGGGAGTTTTTATAATGATAGTACCTTTTTGTAAAGATTCATTTGTTTAATAGAATCTTGTACTTAAAATTATATTATTGATTTCAGTTTATTATATTATATATTGACCAGTAGATTCAAGATGTATTGCTCTGTATAAGGACATAAGGATAGAAGTTTAATAGTGTGGCTGTTGGTGTTATATATTGTACAAACTCAGTTCCACAAATTGGTGAGTTTACTTAAGTGTGTCAATTGATTGCAATTGTCCCTTATTTATATTTACCTGTATAACTTGACTATGACAAATATTTCATTGTCACTTTGGAAATATTACACTTGGATTATCTCCCCTGATTATGAACATTCAAGCTAGACTCACATGAAGTTAAAAATGTATATTTATATTGATGATAAATGATGATTCATTCATATATTTAAAGACATTATACAAGAAACTCAAATTATCTGTAATGATAATTTGTGTGAGGTTGATGTTTATTGTTTTTAAATTTACATTTTGATATTTTCAAACCGCAAACCGTTTGTATAGAATAAAAGATGATAGTATTTATTCATTCTGATCGATTGATTATAATTGTTGTATTACTATAAATGCTTTATAGGTCAAGATGTAGGATGTTTTGACTATATACAAGGACATGTGAACTTAATTAATATTAAAAGAGTGTAATGGTTAATACTTTATTAAACTGAATTGTATTGTATTTACTTCATTACCTTAATCATTGTTAATTTGTTATTCCAGGGTTAAGGTGTGTAATTGTAAGATGAATGAATGTGATGTACAATTGATGAATAAAGAACCTTTGAACTCAGACTTATTTGTAATTGATGAACCAGAAAATTAGACTTTTACATAAACACTATCTACAAACCGCTCGGACGAACATGTACACCTTATAATCTTTCTATTCATCGGATGTAGTATTTATAGTATTATCAAAACGGATCTAGTACTAAAAGTTGACAAAAGAACCAAAACAATGGGGTTAACATTAGAACTGCCTTGCATGCATGATGTACAACTTGCATTCATACTACGGTAAATAAATTTGATATAGAAATTGGCATACGGGCATTTTTCAGGAAAACGTATCGTTGATCACAGGTTCATGACATGAGGTCAAGGCTATTTCAACCCAATCTGATGGACATATATACCTTGTAATTATTCTATGTAGTTTATCGATATAGTTGATCTTTTATTCATAAGAAATTACAAATTCGTGTATTTAAAAACCGCTATTATATAATAGTTTATTTAAGTAGCATGAACAAATGATGTCAAGGACAATAGATAGATGAAACATTCACAACGTAAACCACCTATTTACAAAGAATCAAGTATTCAGGTTTTTACCTTTAAAAATATGGAGCTTAAAAAAAGAGCCTCTATATGACGTCAACGCATTCATTTGTCTCTCATTCTGCGACATTTGTATGCGATATAAATTGCTTGCCCGTATTTTTTATCGTCACTATTTAAAATATTTGACGTCGCAAACGTCATGTAATTAACAAACTCATAAAAAAGTCAACTATTAGAACTTGGAATAATTTTTTGAGCCTGTGGAATTGCAAAAATAGTAGTTAGAATAATAATTTTTTTAAACCCGATTAATTTCTTCAATTTGTGTGTTGTTTTTTTTTTTTAAATTTTTTTAACTTCTTTTGGAGATTTACCAAAATAAAGATTCACCAATAATTCCCGTAAGCATGTCTCGTCTTTCACTACTTTAAAAGGAAAGACGTAATTTTAACGTTAAAAGATTACCAATTGGTTTGAATGTTGCGCTATGGTTTTTACTTTATATATATATAATAAGAGTTGTTTCCACTTATATGGCTAAGTTGAAAAATTAAATCGAACAAAAACAAATATTTGGTATTTGTAAAAACAGTCTGAATAATGCAATAAATCACTTATTTTACTTTTTTTAAATAATCAGTAATACACAATAATTGCAATTCTGTCTCAAAATTTGCAAAGGATTAGGCCGATTGTGTATTGCTATGTTGCAATCAAAGATGGCTATATAAGTGTATCTATCTTGAGTGTTGAATATTCATCAAAAGGAACACTCCTATTCCTTCAACACGCACATTTATTTGCTGCATCAAAAGCTGACATATTTTTGAACGTATGCATTAATTAAATTAATTTCAAACCTCGCATACAACATATAAATTTATACATAGTTATCAACTTGATGGACAAAGAATGTGTTTTAATTCAAAAACACTTAAAGACTGTAATTTTTAATTTCAATACGTTTGATCCATATCATTTCCATTACCAGAAATACTCTTTTACTATACTCTGATTTCTCACGCCATTTAAACGTTTTATGGGCTAACTGGATCCCTGCATCTTTGAACTAATAAAGTAATTGTGACTGCTTGACATTTTTCAAACACCCCTTTTTATTCTTTTGTACATAATCAAACCCTGCCTAAAGAAATATATTAATTTTATCATTTAAAATCAGTTATCGAAGCAGTCATAATTAAGGAAGTGATCCCGATTAGAATATCCATCCCTTAGCTAAACGTACTGACGTAGATTTTTTACCCAACAGACGCACAAATGACGTCAAATAACGTCACCTTAAACCAAATAATTTGACGGAAAGATATCGATTGGAATCAAGCATATTGATTAAGTTTCATTTTAGCCGTACATTGCCTAATCGGAGCGCTATATCTATTTGTGATTTTATCGTACTTCAATAAATGGGGTCTAATGATCTCTAATGGCTTTTCATGGTGAATTTTTATTTGTTTTGCGAAACCTAGCGATTTAGCAGAAAATTGCCCAAAATAAATAAATAAATAAATGTCACGTGTTGTCGGGTATTTCCGGTAAGATGCGTTCAATAATGTGATATCTTACTTCCTGGTTACATACATTACGTTGAAAGGTAAAAAACTCAGCATCTAATTTAATTTGATAATCTATTATGACTTATATTGCAAATTTAATTAATAATGAGATCAATTAGAGTATGCACAGTGATAATGGCGTTCATGACATGACCTTGGTTTCAACGGCCCTTAAAATTAAAACAAATTAAGAACGTTGGGATTCAGACTTGGCATCGAGTTAGTAATAATATAAAGTTTCTTGCAGTAGAAAATGAAACCAGTAATCGATAGTACGTCAAGCGATTTCTATTGATTATCATATACCAGGTGAGATTGATTTAATTCATTGGATTATTATACTTTTTCCTGCAGTTGCGATCATCTTTTGAATGCTATGTATCGAATGATTTCCCCATTGCCGACAATAGCAATTTTTTTCTTAAATGGCTGTTTTAATAAACTATATTATTTTATGGTAAAAACTGCTTTTGCCTAATCGGAGCGCTATATATATTTGTGATTTTATCGTACTTCAATAAATGGGGTCTAATAATCTCTAATGGCTTTTCATGGTGAATTTTTATTTGTTTCGCAAACCTAGCGATTTAGCAAAAAAATTACCCAAAATCGTGATCAAAATAAAAAAAAAAAACTCTGGTCCTTAATAATACTTTTGAGGACAGACTTGTGCTTTTATGAAACGGTGGCGACATTGAAGTAATTAAAGGATCTTACAAAATTCTAATTCATAAATTTCTGTTAGTTTGGTAAACCTAACAAGAAAACATCTGAAAAACCCCTTTTCATTTCCAGCGAAAAACGAGTATGGGAAAATTGTGTGTAAGTGTGCTAACGTAATTGATTTCTATTTTACAAATACGTTGAAACTCGGTATCTTTTTTTTCTTTTGTATTTAGATTTACCTAATATTAATCCAATTTATATGTTGTCAGTATTATTTATTAACTTTCAATTAAAACGTAAATGTATTATAATTACGTTTTGTGCTTATTGTATACACATGGCCATGCATACTTTAGTTGTCATTTTGTGTGTTGTATTTGGTGATTTTTAACCGTCTTTGTGACATTGTCCATATCCGTTTTTTTCAATAACAATTGACAGTATTCATATCTAGTTTTTTTTTAATGTTTAGTTAATCATCTATTTTTGAAATTGACTTACATATAATTTCTCGTAAATTTCAGTACAAATGGCAATTTATCTGTTAACCAACATCTTGGAAATGTCCATTTATATGAATTAACTTCTGTGAAAGTAGACAAAATAAATTATGCAGCATTGTTTCCCTATTTCCTCTACTGAAGTATCTGCTTCTTGATAATTCTCTTTCAGTTCAGTTGGGCAAAATTGTGGTTTTCTATGCCCAGAGTCCTATGTTCGATCATTGTTCTGTGCAGTTGTAATTTTAAAGGAAAATCATGCTCTTATTTTAACACTTTGTTTTTACTTCAATGCATGTGTCTGACAGATAAAGCAGTGTGAAAGGTCATTGTGTTGAACGAAAAATGACAATTGCTATAGCGCTTAATGTAGTGGAAAATGTGTTGTGAAAAGTTTTAAATAAATCATGTCGAAAGTTAGCATGTGGTCAAGGTGCCATAGTCTATTTGCAAGAAATTTACCAATAGATAATAAAACGTAAACATACATATGTATTGGCCATTTCTATACATACAATGTAGGAGGGAATATAACGACCATCAACGGTTCTGTTATGTACTCATTTTTATTAATTAATTGAAAATGCATCTTTTTTTTTAAACTTATTACTGGTAATGCTCTTATTTTCTTCATTCAGCTTCAAAGTTTGAAAGGTATGAGTGTCGGATTCCACAACTGAATTGTATGTTTTCATGTAATATAAGCAATTTTTAAAATAGTCTCGATTTTGTAAACAAATGTCTTCAAAATTCTTTTTTAGAATGTCGACCAATCTAAAGATATGTAACATATGTGATTACCGACACGTAACAAAGCCAGCAACAGATTGGTGTTCCGAATGTGAACAGTCTTTTTGTAACGAATGTAAGGAATTCCACGGGTTTTCAAGGTCGTCCCAAAATCATGCAACGATTCCGATATCGGACTTTTTAGCACTAGAGACGTCTTTCTTATCAATAACCAGTCTATGTACTGAACATAATGAGATTTACAATTTGGTTTGCCAGACACATGATCAGCTGCTTTGCCTTCGTTGTATAAAAAACCACAAGGACTGTAAGGGTATAGTTCCACTGAGTGAAATTACAAAAAATGTGAAATCTTCAACGTGTTTCCAAGAAACACAAACTGGTTTTACAGACACAAATGAGAACATAACAAAGATTCGGGATGAGTTAAAGTTGTCTTTAGAAACGATAAATGATGAAGAGAAGTTACTTATGTCAGAGATTGGAACGATGAGGAAGAAAATAGATGATCATGTAGACAAGCTCGAAAACAACCTAAAAAAAGAGTTGTCTAAAGAAGCAACAGAATCACGCACAGCCATCGAAGTATTGTTACAGAAACTTGATGATCGAAAAACCGAGACTACTAAACATTTGAGGCAAATGAAAGATTTAGAGTCTTATGCATCAGATTTTCAGACTTACATAAGCCTGAGACAAATTTCATCTGCAGTGGATTCTGCTGAGTCATTCGTGCAGTCAGTGGCTAAGGATGGAAATTTAGAAATAGATGCATTCAGCTTGAATTTTGATGAAAAGATAAATGAAATGGTAAGCAATATTCAGCAGTTCGGTATGGTTCATATACAGAAAAAGGTTTGCCACGTGACTCTCATCCGACAAAAGGATAAGCAAGCTCAGTTAGTCGGATTAGAACGACCCCAAATTAAGTCGGTCAATGAAATCAACCTCAAATTATTTCAAACTATTGATACAAAGTGTGATTTTATAAGAGGTTGTGAAATTCTGTCCGATGGGAAAATGGTCTTCGGTAATTCTTCCAAGGATAGTTACGTAGTTATTTTTGATTCAGAAGGGAAACGTTTGTTAAATACATTAAAAAAACAAGGCCGTCCTTGTATGGATATAACATGTATTGATAAAAACACAAAATTAGCTATTTCTAGTGGATATAGAAGTCAATGTACAGTTAACATTGTCGATATAAGTAAGCCCGAAATAGAATCTAAGTGTATAACCATGAAAAACTATTGCTACGGAGTGACATGTACTGATAACTCCTTATTGTGTTATATTTCCAAAGAGGGCATACAAAAGATAAGTTTAGACAACTATAAAGTATCAACTATTATCAAATCAGGTTTACATTATGGATATGTTGCAGTACACAACAACAAACTGTATTACACCGACCGCGACAAAAACAGTGTAACGTGCAGTGATATGGAAAGTCAGTTGGTATGGACGTTTAGGGATGAAACTGTTTTGAAAGATCCACTTGGTATTACGGTTGATACTTGTGGATTTGTATACGTTGTAAGCCATGCAATGAACAGTGTTGTAGTATTATCTCCTGATGGACAGGAAAAAAAAGTGTTATTAACAAATATAAATGGATTGAAAACTCCATGTGCTTTAAACTATGATAAACTTCGAAATCGTCTTTTGGTAGCAAACAGTGAAAGAACTGCATATTTGTTTGACGTTTCGAAATAACAATACAAATGTTTTAAAGCATCCACAGAGACTCAGAAAGTGCGCAGTTATTTCAAGAAAGCACTTTTGCTCATCCAACATAACATCTAGGTCTTTTGCTTAAAAGGAGGCTAATGAACCAAGTGTTCCTAGTGCAAAATTTGATGTCATTCATTGTTTTACGGTTGCCATCATGATTTGGTTTATCGTTATGGGATATTTATATCACAGATCACAGATGTGTTCAAATTGTCGTCTCTTTTCCTTGAATGTTACATGACGAATTTAACTGTTCACCGAAATTGTACTTGCCATGAGAAACATGACGGGGCAATATGTGGAGCAGGATCTGTTTACCCTGGTGTTTTTTAGTTTTGTTCAGTAATAGTTTTCTATGAATCGTGTTTTCATTCTTTTTCTCATTTTTGCCATGGCTTTCTTAGTTTGTCTTCGACTTATATTTTTATTATTCCTTTCTGTATTTTCTCCCTCAGTTCAACAGTGCTTCAGTCTGTCGTCATTTTTACGCCCCTTCTGATTTTAAATTTCCTTGTTTTATATGATGTATTTGTACCAAGGTTGGGCGGTATTTAGTATTTACCGGTATTTACCGCCTCGGGCAATACTCCTCAAGTGGTCAATACTGGCAAATACTGGTCGATTGAAATTTTCATGGTTATTTTTACAGACTCAACTATAAATTTTAGCAAAACATTGGCTTGATGGGGGAATTATTTTAACTTTATTTCTTTGGCAATGATTTAGTTTATTAAAATGAATGATAGAGGTATATTTTATTAACTATTAAAACATGAATAATGACTAATTTAGTTCTTATGGGTCATATGCATGATATTGCATACTTTAGGTAAATATAAAATTGCTATATCAATTATTTCAACATGTATTACTCAAGATATTTTGTCTTGATTATTTATTTTGTGTACAGGTAAATAGAATTACAGGTGTCTAAATTACTAAGCATTACCTCTCATATGGCTAACAGATGTAAAAAGTTTGATTACTAATACAACTACCCCCTAATCTATACTATTAAACGAAAAGACCTCATCATGCCTTTGTGTCCTGTGGGTACCATGCATAGTCGCATTTGTCATCCTCACTTATGATTATTCCGTTTGGGTTATTTTGGGAGGAAAACGAAAATAAAGGCGTCCGGTTATTGTTTCCGTCATCGGACGGACTTTTAGGTCATAGACAAGACTTCCGTTTAGGACTTACACGTAATTTTCATAGGTACTTGGGGACAGGATAATTAATTTCGCTTTTTCTGTATACTATGAACATACATATACTATAAATAAAGTGTATTTGCTATTTTCTATCAATTCCAAGTTTACTATCAACGGCGGTTATATATAATATAGAGATTATAGTATATGTCTGTTCATAGTATACAGAAAAACGCGAAAATAATTGAAATTAATAGAAAAAAAGGGGGATTGCTAAAACAATTGTCATGTCCCCAAGTATCTACGACTTTTGACACCTCAAAATCTTTTACAAAAATTCATCCTACAACAGTTTACATACTTTCAACCACTCTCTAAATAATCTAAAAGTCCGCGATTTCGCGGGTGTGTTCTAGTAAATGTTGAAATAACAGGAAAAAAGTCATAAAAGTTATGTTAAAAACTGTTTAAAACAAAAAGTTAATTGCTTGACTGACAAATTGTCACAGGACAGAAGGTGACAATTTGGTTTTGAGAGAACTATTTCTTTGATTAAGAAAAGACTTCTTTTTTAAGGCAATTTTTGTTTTTTTTTCTAAAACTATTACATATATACATGATATAAATAACAACATTTGTTTAATACATTTGATGAAATTACTGTCAAATAAATTGCTTCGCCGAGCGCAGCTTGATACGACCGCATAGGTCCAACCCTGAACAGTTGGGGCAAAAATGGACACAATATTCGGGCTTGATACAGGTCCGAATTTGGATTGTAATTAAATATTTGACACATAATAGGTTTCTGACACAGAATAACTGTAGTCAAAGAACTTAGACTTGGTTATATGATTTGAATTTATATTCATTTTTTTGCTTTTGTGCAATACACTATGCTGTTGCGAATTGACCCCCCCCCAAAAAAAAATTTTTTTTACCCCCCCCCCCCCCCCCACCCCCCTCTTTTTTTTGCAAAAAAAAAAATTTTGAAGAAATTTTCTTTTTAATTTCTGAAATCTGAAATGTGAAAAAATTGCCCTCCCTCACAATTTCTTTTTTTACCCCCACCCCCCCCCCCCCCCCCCCCACCCCCCCAATTTTTTCCACCTCCCCTCCTTTTCCAAAAAAAAAATTCTTTCCCTCAAGATATGGTCATACTCTCAATTCAAATTTCCAATTGAGTTTGCAACCATAATTACCCATTTAAATACATCATAAAAGTCTTAAATTAAAAAATGACATAAATAATCATGGCTAAAATTAATATTCCTTAATCAGCATTTTCAAATAGTAACTTCTAAAAATAAATTGACAGCTAATCACATCAAGACAATACAACATTTCTTTATACATAATTTAAAAGCAGTGTAAGGGAGGTAATCCAAACATAACATTGTACTTTTTTTTAATTGTCCATTAACCAGGACACCCTTGTTTTTTCTCACTTTTTTGCCCCTAATTCCTAAAAGGTTTGAACCATAACCCCCCAAAGCCAATCCTAACCATCCCTTTGTGGTATGGAAACTTGTGGTATAATTTCAGAGGGATCCATACACCGTTCCACAAGTTATTGTCTGGAAACTAGAAAAATGCTTATTTGAGCCCCTGTTTGGCCCCTAACTCCTAAACTGTTAGGACTATAACCCCCAAAATCAATCCCAACCTTCCTTTTGTGGTTATAAACCTTGTGTTTTAATTTCATAGATTTTTATTTACATTTACTAAAGTTATTTGTCCGGAAACGTCTTTGGAAGACCCTGACGACAACGTGATACCAATATACAACCGCAATTTTTTTTGCGGTCGTATAAAAAACAAGCTGTCATAGTCTCTTGCTACATGTAGTGATAGGCTTCATGGTGCAAAGAAATATATCTTTTGTATGAATAATATTTTATTAATCTTCATTTAAGGGAGCTACCATTTGATTTTTATGGGGGGGGGGGGGGGGGGGGGGCTAGGATGAAAAAATTTGTCCTGCCTTTTTATTTTTCCCTCTATTCGGTCCTGCCTTTTCATTTTTCACCCTATTCGGTCCTGCCTTTTTTTTTTTAGTTTATCCTGACTTTTTTTTTACATAAATTGTCATCCTGCCTTTTTTTTTTGGCAAATAATATCATCCTGCCTTTTTTTTACTCAAATTTTTTTTCAAATTTCATCCTAGCCCCCCCCCTCCATAAAAATCAAATGGTAGCTCCCTAACCATGTTCATGAACAATTACATAAACGTTACTGTACAATGAATTTATCTTATAAGAAGGCATTACAGAATCTGTCCTGTGATTATATCTGTCTGGGTACCCAATAAATGACTAGGTAGGGACTGGTTTTTATAGTAATGTCTTATCAAAATTTTAATTGACCAATATTGACCAGTAGTTGCCAGTATTTCCCGGTATTTACCGCTGGCCTGGTCAATATAAGTATTGACCGTTTTTTTGCCAACCTTGATTTGTACGAAAGAAATCATTAACTCATAAATATGAAACTAACATTTTTCAATTTTTCAATATGTCCCTAAATTAACATGTACAAATCTTTTTTAGGATGCATTATGCTTTGTCCAAACACAGGTCTACTATTGATCTAACTGCTTCTAGGAAGAACTAGGTTTGTATTCATTTAGATGGAAACTACATGAATTGTCACATGAGTAAATTCAGAAATTAGTGCATGCATTTATTATTGCAAATTTCAGTTTGTAGAAAAATAAAATGTGAGATTAATTATTGCGATTTCAGGAAAATCTGCATACAGTTATGTGTATCAGATATAAGAATGCGAGTTTTTATTATTGCGATACTCTTTCAGTCACATTGTTCGCATTAGTAAAAAACTTGCATTAATTTCTAATTTACAGTATCTTATCGTAAAGGTTTTTATTATGTGGTGTCCAAAGTTTGATAATATTTAATTTTTTCAGCAAGATCCTTAAATATTCACATTTTAGAAGGTGCTCCTGTTTTAATGTTTTTTTTCCCTGATTTTTTCCGTAATTCTTTTTATATATGATTCGAAACATTAAATATCCAAGGGTAGCATGGTGTATTTTTCGTTTCATTATTTTATTTGGCATTTTTTAGAAGTTTGTACAAAAAAGTGCGATGAACTATTTTTTAAAAATTAAAATAATGTTTATAACTCTATAGAAATAAACGTTTCCTTTATTCAAATCTGCAAATAACTCAATTTATCAAAAGACATTGCAAAAGAGGATAAAAATATTTCTATTGCATGTTGTTGAGGTTAGACCAGGTAACAAACAAGAAAGTTATGCAAGTTTGCTTATTGTTTCAAGATCATTATACCAGAGACATATAATACATTTTTTTTTATATAATACATGTATTATATGTCTCTGATTATACGAACAAAATTCTTTATTTTATCACCCATACTTTACCAGTTATGACCTAAAATCATGAAGTGTGATGTTCATTTGTATGTTTTTTAGCAATGTTTAATGTTAAGTATCGACTTATTTGACTTAAAATGATACATATTTAATGAAATTTATACATAATTAATAATATTTAATTATAATTTACACATAAGTAAACCAATTTGTTCGGCATCCAAACCATACCAGACTTTAGTCGATCATCTCTATCGACACTGTACGTATATACTATTTAGTTCAAGACACGAATTCATGCATTGATACTAAGAATGAAATGTGTTAGCTTTCCCTTATTGAACTACAAATATATCACTGGTTTTAATGGTAGGGTCCTTGTGTATAATTTTATTGTAAGGAGGCAACACAATAATGAAACGGAGATGACGTTACTAAGTTAATAAAATGCTTCGCTGGGCGCAGCTTGATACGACCGCAGAGGTCGAACCCTGAACAGTTGGGGCAAGTATGGACACAACATTCAAGCTTGATACAGCTCTGAATTTGGATTGTGATTAAATATTTGACACAGCATAGGTTTCTGACACAGAAAGAATGTGGTCTAAGAACTTCAATTTTTTTAATTTACCTATTATGGTCCAATGTCCAAAATCAAAATACATGGTTAGATTCAGCATATCAAAGAACCCCATATATTCAATTTTTGTTGAAATCGAACAAAGTTTAATTTTGGACCCCAACTTGGACCAACTTGAAAACTGGTCCCATAATCAAAAATCTAAACACATGTTTAGATTCAGCATATCAAAGTACCCCAAGAATTCAATTTTTGTTAAAATCAAACTAAGTTTAATTTTGGACCCTTTGGACCTTAATGTAGACCAATTTAAAAAACGGGACCCAAAATTAAAAATCTAAAAACACGGTTAGATTTGGCATATCAAAGAACCCCAATAATTCAATTTTTGATGAAATCAAACAAAGTTTAATTTTGGACCCTTTTGACCTCAATATGAACCAATTTGATAGCGGGCCCACAAAATAAAAAATCTAAATACATGGTAAGATTCAGCATATCAAAGAACCCCATATATTCAATTTTTGTTGAAATCAAACAAAGTTTAATTTTGGACCCCAATTTGGACCAACTTGTAAACTGGGCCAAAAATCTAAAATCTAAATACATGTTTAGATTCGGCATATCAAAGAACCCCATATATTCAATTTTTGTTGAAATCAAACAAAGTTTAATTTTGGACCCCAACTTGGACCAACTTG